GCCCTCAAGAAGGCGCACACGAAGCTCGCCCACAAGGCCAAGGAGGAGACCTTCTTCACGAACTACTTTTACCGCGTCGCCGAGGTCCGCGCGGCGCTCGGCGCCGACCCGCCGCTCGCCGGCGGCCGGCCCGCGGACGCGCTCGCGCCGCCCGTCGTCCAGCGGGAGCCCGCGCCGCCGCCGGCGCCGGCGCCCAAACAACCCCCGCCGCCGCCGCCGCCCGCGCCGCTGCCGTCGCCGCCGACGGCGCCCGCGCTCGCGCGCCTCGAGAGGGCCGCGCCGCCGCGCGCGTCCAAGTTCCGCGCGCCGTCCGAGTCGTCGGCGACGGACAGCGCCGTGCTCATCAACGCGAGCGAGGCCGCGTCCGAGTTCTCGTCCCTCGTCCACGTCGAGGACGACGACCCGGCGTCGCCCCGGCGCGCGCCCGACGACGCGCTCGGCAGCTCGGGCGAGCTCGTCGCCGACGACGACGCCCTCGACGCCGCCGTCCTCGCGGAGATCGAGAACGTCGAGGTCGGCGACGACGACGACGACGACCTCGAGCGCCAGATCGCCGCGGAGCTCGACGGCGTGTAGAGCGGGGGTTCCGCGCCGTAACGCGACATGTGCACAGTGCGCTGTCCCCTAAGACTCCCCTTGGATGCGCGCGCGCGATGGCAAGGCCCGCCCCCCCTGGAGGGACAATGCGCTGCCCCTCGTCCCCGGTGTGCCGACGAGGCGTGGTTACGAACATGCCGCCGCGTGTCGAACCGAGCCCGCCTACTTCATGGAGGCGGCCGTCGCCTGGCACTCCTCGGAGCAGAGCGAGTAGATGTATTTGTAGATGTCCTGGAACTTGGGCACGTGGCGCATCTCGAGCTTGGCGCCGTCGCGGAGCTCGATGACCATGTCGCCGACCTCCTTCGAGCCCCGGTAGACGTACTTGAGGTCGACGATGTCGGAGTAGATGATCTCCGTGAAGTCGTTGCCCCCGAGGCCACTCTGGACGGAGATGCGCCGGCTCGTGATCTTGTACTTGACCCAGACCTGCCGCGCGGCCGCGGCCAGGAACGGGACGACGCCGATGATCGTGATGATCGAGATCGCCGGCAGCACGAGCTCCGTGATGGACGGCGGGCCCTCGAAGAAGAGCGTCTCCGGCGCGAGCGCCGACGCGCTCTTACTCGCCTCGGGGGCCGCGAAGTCCTCGTCGTCGTCGACGAGGTCGCCGTCGAGCGTCGCCAGCTCGTCGAGGAGCCGGCTCCGCGCCGCGAGGG